AAGATAGGTAGTATTGATACTCTAGCTGTAATATCGATACCTAGGGTCAAGTATCGATACCCCTATGAGTATCGATACCAAAAATACATTTTACTACGAATTTGGGACCTCAGTATCAATACTGCTACCCTAAGTATCGATAATGCAGGGACAATATCGATACTCACATTGGTAGTATCGATACTCCTCTCTAAAAACCCTAAATTTAGCCCCTATTTAACCAGTATCGATATTGTTTATCCTAAAATCGATACTCAAACCCTAAAACTAATATTTTAGGCTCAAAAAAACAATCAAAATCATCCTAAATGACTTGGGTTGGTTCCTAAACTGATTATGAAGTTCTATCAAGTTATTTAGGGTCCTTAGGTGTACATCTAAAACGTGATTTAATCCTGAAATTAAGTTTAAACCCTAATATGCTCTACTACTCAAATCTTAGCAAAAACTTGTAAGTTATGAAATCTAAATACCCCAAAGGATTAGAATTATACTACGTTACTGATTGAATCCCAAAATTGAGCTTCTTTAGCTAGAAATCATCCCGCATCAAGACTTGGATGATAAAATCCCTTTTTCTTACAAGAATAAAAACCCAAGCTTTAAATCCTTAAAACCATGTTGTTAGGGGTTTAATTAGGACATATTGAAATATAAAAAGGGTTAAAAAATGTTACCTTGGCCATGGAGATTGGAAGGGAAGAAGAGGAAAAGAGAAGGAGGATAAAATGAGGACAATGAGAAGAAATAAGAAATAAAAACACTCATATTTTGAAAATGGGATAATTACAGTACTGGTCCCTCCTCATCTTCATACTATGCAAAATCCTTATTTATGGTTAATTGGGCCCAAGTCCAACCCAATAAGCCCAACGACTTGATTTATAAATTCTGCGGGGTCCACTTACCTCTCGGGTAAACTCAAAACTACTAGCCTGAAATTTGGGGTGTTATCAAAACAACTTTCTAACGTTGATAACATAAACATGTATCCATAAATCATCAAAATCCAACTTATTCATCATCCAATATAGAAACAAAATCAATGATTCAAGCATTTAATCATGTAATATTCATATCAAATGGTAGAGAATTTGATATAAATCATTTTTTTATTTCACAACTTATTTCAAAAATCAAAGTAAAAAGGACAAAAATGAAGAAAAAAGGATGAAAACATACCTTACTTATTTTTATCTTTGGTGCACGAAATTTATAGAAAGAATAATGAGTTTTCTTGATTTTTCTACAAACATATCTATGTACACTTGTTAAAATATTAATTAAATGAATATAAAATTCATTTAATACATAATTACAACTTTATCCTTTAAAAATCATGATAATTACCATTTCCACCATAATATTTTTCCATTTTAATAATAAAAAAGTCAAAGATGAACAAAAATAATTCACTTTCCACCTTTGCCCTTTGTAATTTTTGAAAATTACAATTTAGTCACTAAAATTTATGATTTCAACTTATCATAGAAAATCCATCTAAATTGCAAGGATCCACGTCAAATTTAAAAATTATAAACTATAGAAATAATATTTCTAACATTTTCCCATCATATTTTAAATTTGTGTAAACTTCTAATTCGATCAGATTATTCGAATACTTTACCAAACTTTATCGTTTCATAAATTTTTCACACAAATTTTGGATTAAAATATGAATTTATTAGAGAATATATTCTTAATGATAACCTATTTATTTTTAGAATAGAATTTATTTTTGGGAAAATTACTACTTTGGTCCTTAAACCTTTCCCAAGTTTAATCTTTGGCCATCAAATTTTCAAAAATTTAATTTTAGTCACTAGTCAAATTTTTAGGGTATTACATTCTTAAGATCCTTAGGCTTCACGTTGTGAGCTCAAAAGTTTATCATGTGCTCAATTTAGTCACAACCTTCACTAATATTTAATTTAAAAAAAAAGAAGAAAAAATCGTCTAAACAAGCTTCCAAACGAATTCAAAAACAAACTCATAATCCACGAATGAATCATTAAATAATCTGTTAATTTTAAACCCCTAATACCAAGACCATAAAACTTCCATCACCATAAATAAAACGAGGTTCCAATGATAAATCTGTGTTGATGGAATTGATTTTCAACCTCGTAGTTAAATTTTCTTCCTGACCTGATTTACTTTTAGTCCAAATTTCAAGTTTTAGTGCTTTTAAATCATTTACCATTCCTAAATGTATTATTATTTTATTTAAATTGATCATACGAGAGAAAATAAAAATAGAAGAATTGAAGTGGATCGAAACACGACCCACTTTGAGGTTGTGGCCCGCCCGATGACTTGCTTCCAGATTTTTTTGGCCCAATACGACACCCGCCAAATTTTTTTTGCCTAATAGGTCACCTCATAAATTAATTTGGGATCTACAACATTTTCTACAGTACAGTTGGAATCATCACCTCGATGTGACAAATTCCATAAGATATTATTTTTATATTTCGGGCCCAATATTTTAATATTTCTTAAACTTGTCATATGAGTTCTATTAAAATTTATTTTTTAGATTATCATGTAAATTTAATTTTAGTAAAAAAATACATCGGAACTCCTCACCTTGAGGTGATGAGTTCCTTTGATTTAAAATTTATAGCTGTTTAGTTTTGAAAAAGAGCTCGTTGGAACTCGTCACCTTGGTGTGACGAGTTCCAACGTTCATTTTCTCAAATTTTAACTATAAATAGGAGTTGAGTTAGTTGATAGAGTTATAGGAGAACCAAAACATGCACTTGTGGGAAGAATATTTCAAGCAATTTTCTAAAGATCATATTTGGTCTGATTACTCTGATATCGATGATTCGGATTCAAGCTCGTCTTCAGACGAGGAGTGGGTGAAAGAATCAATAAAGTCTGTTCTTGATCAACATAAGGAGTTGAAAAGAAAGGAGGAGGTGGAGAAGAATAAGAAGGAGAACGAGAACGAGAAGAAGAAGAATAATAAAGAGTTTGTCAGCCGATGCAACAAACGACTCATCAAAATAAATGAGAATAAGAAAAATAATGTAAAAATTGAGAGGAAGAAGTGTTTCTTTTGTTGAAAAAATGTTTTAAATAAAGGTATGAATTTGACTTTAGTTAAATGCTATAATTTGCAATTATATATGAAATGTAAAAACCTGAAAAATTATTATTTATACTTGTAAAATCGGTACAATATGGGAATACGATTACAAAGGATTTATCGGCCTGCTCGATATCTTGGGAGATGTGGACAGTGGTTCTTATTGTGACCTTCACCTCTGTAGTGGCCACATAGCTTCGGCAGACCTTGCTCTCTTTGAGGTTTATCCATATCGGTATGAATTTAAACAGATTTAGGACGAACCCTCAACTTCTTTCATAATTGTGGATTTGGAAACCATTCTTCATAGGCAGTAGGTAGCAATATTCATCGTTCGGGATATACTTAAACTCACAACTGTATATGTTGCGCATAGTATGCAAGATATAACAATCATCAGCGTAAATGTATGGCTCTATATTCACATGCATACATGCAGCAACCGCGTGAGCGCATGGGTATCTAAAGGCTTGAAATCAACCACAATCACATCATTTTCTATTCAGATTACCAGTATAGGTGGTAGAAGTCCCACCCTCATGTGGTCGAACAAGCACTTGGACAATATAATCAGATTACAGTCTGGTGAAATTATGAACATACATTGATGTTCCATGAGTTTGATTTTTGGTCATTGCTTTCTCCAGATATGGAGCCCAATTTCTACCTTTGTTGAGCATTGCCTCTACCTGGGCACTTTTTTCTGCCCAAACTTTACCCAATCTGAAGTATGTCTCCTAAACAATACTTTCCACTGGAAGATGTCTAGTCCCTTTTAGCACCGAATTAATGCACTTGGTAAGATTGGTTGTCATATAACCAAAACATTGACCTTGATCGTCATATGCATGTGCCTATCTTTCCTGAGGTATCTCAGTTGCAAAGTTATACACCTTTTCTCTATACTTTCTCAAATTTTCTAGTCTTGCATGGAAGCTCGGTTGTAGTAATGCATAGCCTGAAAAAATAGTTAGGTGTAAGTATAATAATTTTAAACGAAGACCAAGACCAAAAAATGAAGGGTAAAACTGAATAAGTTACCCATACTGATAATCTCTTTCTTTATCTTCTTATTTTTGAACCTCGTCATAGCATTTGAAGTAATAAAACGCATGCAATACACAGGAAATGCATACGAAGGCAACCACATACTTCCCGGTCTTTCAATAATGGCTAACAACCCATGTGAATGGTCTGAGATTATACAAACCCCCTCTAGTGTGACAACATGGGAGCACAAGTTTGACAGAAAGAAATTCCATGTTTCCTCAGACTCATTTTTAACAATGGTGAAGGCAATGGGGAAGATGTTTCTATCAACATCTTGTGCAACAACTATCATAAGGACGTGTTTGCATAACTCATACAGAAAAGTGCCATCCACCTTGACCATCTGTTTGTAGTAACGAAAACCTTCAATTTGTGACTTGAAAGCCTAGAACATGCCTTTGAAAACTATCTTTCTAGGGATAACTTGTCCATCAAATGTGGTTGTAGTATAAGTATAAGAGTGAACAATGGTCCCTGAGATAAAATATTCTATCGCGTGCAACAAATGTGGCAACTCATTGTACGACTGATCCTAATCATCGTACAGTGGTGTCATATCTTTGCGTTTGACCATCCAGGACTTGTAACAAGATAGAATATACCCAAATGTATTCCGTATTGATGCCCCAATCATTGATACCGGGATCCTTAGATTTTTCTCCACTAGTAGCTTCACGTATCCACAAATGATATCAGAGTCTAAGTGCTTGTGGTCTTGTGTCAAGGAGATGAACGTGCAACTGTGCTGGTCGTGGAACCTTGTCACTTCTCATAACATCTTTCACTATAGAAATGAGACACGTATCCTCCACTTCCATCCGACGTTGTTATTAATACATCTAACAAAATATGTCTTCTAGTTAGACTCCACAACAGTGAACTCCATATAAGTTTTAATATAAAACTCCTTCATAGCTAGTTGTGCATCATTCTTACTCCCAAATTGTGACCCAAGTCCAAACTCCGTTGATCTTTTATCCAAGGTCCCCCAGTGGGCTACGCGTATATCGAACTTATCAGGAATCTCAGGATTCCTCACGACATCATAGTTTATCTCATTCATTTCAACTTTATGACGATATTGAGGCATCTAGGGTGCAAACTTTATGGTTGCATGCTTGTTGATGGATGTAACCCAACTGGTGGAGCATTCTGCATTGCTTGGCCATGAGAAACGCTGTCTCCCAGACATCACCCTCTATATCAAAGGCTTGAAACTCTGACGTAGCCTCGATGATATCAAATTCATCAATTATTGATGTATTATTGTCCATTATAAGTGGAATAAAAATTTCACCGTCCTCATTGAAATCAACAAGGATTTCATCGAATCTCTCGATGAGGTTATATATATATATTCTGATGGTCCTGCTTCTGCGGTCATCGGTGCAGCAGTTGAGGAAGTAAGAGCATCTATAATTTTGACAATAATCTCAATAATTTGATTATTGGAAGATTGATGAAGGCCAACCATAACAGCTGCATCGTCGTCATCATCGAGCAGGATTGTTCCATATTTGAGTGAAGTCTCTAAAATGATGTGTCAATATGTCAAACTTTAAATGAAAGCTCCAATTTTTCTTTCGATTTTCATCTTCATTTTCCCATGAGTTAATATCCCGGAACATTATGTTCACGGGGCTCTGTGACATGAACTGAACACCATCTTTAGTTTCAATAACTTGGCCATTTGGGTGGACGACTGTGAAAAACTTGTTTGCCATAGCTTCAGAGAGAGATTGATTTTTGCTTGTTGAATAAAATTGTAAAAATAACACGTCTTGTGAAGATTTATATGAAGTGAGTCAATTTAAAACAAATACGAGTCATCATTAATTACCATTCATTACTTTGCCAGTGAAATATCATATTAGTAGGCATTGTTTTTGCTACTTTCCAGTGCTCAATTATTACACCGTGTCAGCTACTTTTTAGAGGTCATTTATTGTTTTAATAATGCAATAGTTGGCTTATTTTGTTGGTCATCTACTGCAGAATTCAAGCAACTTTTTAGAAAACGGGTGAAATAGTGGTGTATTATCATCTTCAGTAACTTTTCAGTGATATATTTAACTCAAATCAGACAACATGTTTTTAACTTAGGCAAAATAATGAACCATTCCAGTTGAATTATCACTTCAAATAAAAAACGTGTATTTAAAATAGGCCAAATTATTTAATGTTTCAGCTACTTTTCATTGCTCAATCAATGCACTGTGGTAGCTATTTTTCAGAGGTTATTTATTGCAACAATAGTGCAACAGTTGGTTTTTTCAGAAACTTTTCAATGATGTATCAACTCAAACCAGAATTTTTTTTGGTGCATTTATCTCTTCATATCAGAAAAATGTGTATTTTACAAAGGCCAAATAATGACCTATTTCACCAACTTTTCAGTGCTCATTTAATCATTTTCAATAATTATTAATATATGTGATTTAAAAGTCATTTTACTCTGATATTGTAGCAATAAAACCTTCAATCCCTTATATCCAAAGCTTGAGTTTCTTTCAAACATGTCAACTATTTGCGCAACTGTTTTTTACGATTGCAAATTTATAACCACGTGTTTCCCAAAAAAATCCAACTACAAGAAGTTGAGGTTCAGTGTAGAAACAAGAGTTATACTCGGAAGTAGGAGAAGAATATCTTTCTTATATTATAAATTTCCAGTTTCATGCTCGAGGTTTCATTTAAGCGATGATGTAGACCTTGCTGGCATGATCGAGACATACTTCTATCACTCTTTCTCTAATGTCGATTTGTTTGTAGAGTTCGATGATCTCGACCTTGCTCGTACCATAGAGGATGTTCCTTCCAGCTTGAATATCCCACTAACTCAGACAAATAACCAAGAAACAAACATAGATGACAGAGACCCATAAGCATGGTTCCAATTCGTACGTGAATGAAAAAATAAAAAGAATGGAAAATTGAAGAACTTAATATTACTTTTGACGAGACTACTGATTACGAAGATTAAAACTTATTAGTCAATACTGCTATGTTAATGATTTTATTTAATGTTTATTTTGTTCATAAGGTCAATGCTATAATGTATTAAGTTTGTTTTTTTCTTCTTCTTAATGTGCATTTCTGAAGGTCTAATCTAACGTTCGTAGTATGTTGTTCTTTTCAACATAATCTACCTCATAAAAAAAAGGAACACGTTACCTCGAGGTGACGAGTTACGGTGTATTTTTTGTTTTCGAAAATTAAATTCACATAATAATCTAAGAAAATAATATTTTTTAATAGAGTCCGTCATCTCGAGGTGACAAGTTCCATGGGAAATATTAAAATTTTGGGCTCGAAATATAAAAATAATAACTCATGAAACTAATCACACCAAAGTGACGAATTCCACCTGTACTATAAAAATGCCATAGATCCTAAATTAATTTATGAGATGCCCCATTGAGCCAAATAATTATTGTAGGTGCTGTATTGCGCTAAAAAAACCCTTGCTTCCTCATAAATTCGTTTTACCCCTTTCGGGCAGCCCGGTTCATTTTTTTATTTACTAGAAATTTAGTACGGCTGAAAACTATATTTAATTCATCCATGGATATCTGATATAGTTATAAAGTATATTACATTCTATAAAAATATTAAATATAAATTTTAAAAATTATATTATTAAATGAAAATTATTTAGCAAACATACTTTTTAAAATTAATATAAAAATAAAAATACTTTAATTTAAAAAAAAATAAATATTATTAAAATAAAATTATATATCAAACATAGTTTTTAAAATTAATATAAAAGTAAAAATACCTCAATTTAGGAAAAAAATAATTTTTGAGAAGGCAAAAAAGTTATTTTTCTTAATTTCAAATTATATAGAGGTACAAAATTAATGGGAAAAGAATATTGCATTGTTTTTTTATTTTATTAATATGAGGTAACTACAAGATAATATATGTTCAAAGATAACTTACAACTATTTGATATTGAACGTTTACACCACTAGCATTCTTGGTACTCAAACTCATGATCTCAAAGAATAACAACAATTTATTTATTACCGAAGTCACTTAATTCATGCCAAATAATTTTAAGAGGGATCAAACTTGAAAACTAGAGAATTAATTGCACCCTCCTTTAAAAAAAATGTGGTTGTCCAATTAAGAACGGACGAAAGAGCCATATTGGGCCCAAAATACAACAGCCTGTTATACCTCCATTGCCAAAAGAGGGAAGTTGTCGCTGCTATGTGAAGTGAACCCCTCACAGTGTCTTTCTCGGGTTTTTTTCCCAATAGGGCAGTTTGAAAAAAATTAGCAAAATAAGGTACAATTATTTTTATTTTGAGATCTACAATATTTTTTACAGTGCATGAAATACGTTACGTGGAGGTAACGAGCTCTAATAAAAATAATTTTTTATTCAAACTTTTTATCTCAATGTGATACATGTTAATACAAAATTATATTTTATTGAAATTTGTCACTACGAGATGATGAGTTTGAATAAAAATATATATTTTATTAGAACAAATTATATTGATGTGGCGAGTTTCATGAACACTATAAAAAATATCATAAATATCAAAATAAACTTTTGAACTGTTTACCCTATTGGGCAAAGAAAACCGCCTTTCTCTCTAAAATCCGAGAGAACCATGCCTTCGCACAAATCCCTTGACCCCTAACTTGGATCGAGCTGGCTAGAGGCAAGCATCCATGAGCCGCACTCAGTGGATCAGACCAATATCCAAACATATTAGTACCCCACTTAGGTTACAAGCAGGCGTTTACCCACTCGACTTTGAATGATTTTTAAATTTATTAATATTATTATATAATTAGAGTAATACGTCTATTTTGTGTGGTAATTCAAAATTTTGTTTATATAAATTATTTTTTAATTTAAATTATCTTATGCATATTTGGGTTCTTGTAGCTTGTAAGAAGAAACAAAAGTTGAATTAGATTTCAGGTGTGGTAGATAAATGGAGTCTTGATATTAGTGGTGGATTAAGAAATTTTCTTAAGAGAGGGTAGGCGCGTATGGGTAACATAAGATTTTCGTATAAATTAGACAAATAAAATCTTAGGAAGAGCACAATCAATAAAATAACTAAATAACTAAAAAAGATCAAATTTCAAAATAGACATATGCCTACCTTGATATATAGCTGGATCCGCCACTACTTGACATGAAAGAGGTGGGGTCATTAAATATAAACTCTCTGATTGTGATAAGAAAAAATATGAGATTATCTATTTCTTGAGGACCAATACCCTTTTATATAGCTGATTTAAAAATAAGTTATTGTCTGTACTTATAATTTCGCTCCTCATCAAATTATAAATATAACTTTGATAGTATTCACACTTTTATTTCCACGACCTTCTAATGCCTTATGACTTTATAAAATAATTGGTCATTTAATTTATGTCATATTTTATGATAACAATATAAATTATAAATATTTGCCCATAATTATGGATTTTTATTCAACAATCTCCCACTTGGACAACATATGTTTCTTGATAAATGTATCACCATATGAGCTCAAAAATTGTTATCATGCAATATGTATTTTATAACAATCTCGTCTATCAACTATATCCATATAGGATCAAAGCGGCCTGTAACACCCCTTTCCCGTATTCGGCCCCGAACACGAGTCAAAGATGTCACATGCTTTTAAAACAGTTTCCGTATTTGAAAAACATTATTATTTTTAAATAATATGATCTAATAATAAAACATTTAAAGCATCATTTACTACTAATATGTAATATAGCATTTATAAGCATCACATAGTAGTTTAAGTTCACTGATAAATATAATACTACAAAAGTATAGTTCATCTATTCCTACCAGAGCATCATAACATAACAAAATCCATGTCAACTAGTAATATAAAAATGAAAATCTAAAGATGTCAATTATTCCTACCAGAGCGTCATAACATAACAAAATATAAGCACCATATATAGCGTTTATGGCACACATAGTGCCATAGTATAACAAATGTACTACTACAAGAACGCAATAATGCATTAAACAAAATCGATCGATAACCACCTTATTCAAGGTATTATAATTGCACCTATGACTCTCAATGTACATACAATAGCTATTATATCCAAATCACAGATTACACATTTATGCCAAAACATAAATAGATGAGAAATAGTGTGAAACACATCCATTTGTTTTAAGGCATTTCATACCCTAAAATCATTGAATAAAAATCATTTTTATAAAACTTTATGAAAATATTTCAAATTGCATTAAAAAGATGCTTATTAAATCACTCAATGTTGACTCATAGCAAGTCTTCCTCCTATCATATAAGTACATAATAAAATGCACTCACCTGGTTTGCCTCACTATTATGCCTTAATATCGATATCTGATTATTCTTAGACTTTTTCCTTGCCTTTCGATATGCTTGTAACACGAGTTGGAGCACGATCTACAGAAGCATCAACGAATAACAAATACAAATATAAATACATATTATTCTTACTAACATTTTAAGCATGATAAAAATATTCAAAAGTACTAATATTTTCTTATTCTTCTAGAATTCATCTTAACTTTTCTTTTTTACCCATAATGGTCCCTTGCCATTATTTCTTCATTTCAAGTCCCAAATAGCTCAAATAAAATTACAACATTTAATTTTCAGCCCAATACCTCAACAATGCCATTATTACCACTTAAGTCACTAACTTTCTCAATATTTACCATTTGATGCTCAAACTTTGCTAACTTCCCAAAATAGCCCAATTTCACATTCTAACATCAATTTTACCCCTTTAATATAAAATTCCAGAAATGTACATCAACTATTGGGTAATTATGCATTTAACCCATAACTTTTCAAAATTACTAAATAGGTCCCCAACTTTTAAAAATTACAAAATGGTCCCAAAATTTTTCTAAGGCTTGTACTACCTTCTAAATATCATTTCTAAGCCATGGAAAATTTTCCACAATTTTCCCCATTCATTTCCTCAAGGTCGAACACTATAGGGGTTGATTTCAAGATTTTTACTTGATTTCAAGCATGAAATCAACCTCTATTCAACATTTCCAAGCCTCTATAATCAAACCCAAACTTAATTTCAACAAATCACAAACTTTCCCCAATCTAAGGTTTAGGTTGAAACTACTATAAGCTTGTATAGGTGGTTTTAATCATCAATCAGGCTTGGAAATGATTCTACAACATCAAAAAACTCAAAATCTAACATCATCTCCTTAAACCATAACATGAACATAAACCCTAGAATTTGGGATCTTTGAACTTAAGAAATATTAGCATTCCATATTGGTACCAAATGATAGAGCTCATCGAATAAAACAATTTTCTATTTCACGTCTTAATCCAAAAGCTAAAGGAAATTACTTGAAATTGAAGAACAAAAATTATCTCATATAGGGTTAGGGGTACACGACCACTATGGAGAAATCACGAAGTTCTCATGAAATTTCTAAGTAATTTGATGTTAATTTATCCTTTATTTAAGTTTAAATGAATTTAAAATTCATTTAATTGAGAAATGACCAATTTACCATTAATGAAACTTGATAATTACGTCCATACCAAGGCACATAACACTTATCATATTCCCAATGTTAAAGATGAACAAAATAATTTACCATTTACAACTTTACCCATGATCTTTTCCAAAAACTTCAATCTTGCCATTTTAATCCAACGATCCAAATTGAACATGAAAATAAATTCTCAAATCCAATGATCCACATTATTTTACATCATTTTAAAATGTGGAAATAATATTTCTAAGCATAATTTAATAACCTTTAAATTTTCTCAAAATTATTATTCGATCCGATTTATCCAATTTTTACCGGACTTTAACACTTTCTAGCTTTTAACACAAATTCCGGACAAAATATTTGATTACCACCAAAACTTCATTCTTGGGGGTGAACTATTCATTTATGGAATAATTTTTTTGGGAAAATTATCACTTTGGTCATCAAACTTTCAAAATTTATGTTTTGGTTACTAACCAAAATTTTGGGGGTATTACAATTCTCCCTCTTAAGAAAAATTCATCCTCGAATTTTAGTACATATTTGATGTTAATTGGCACAGATACTGCATTTTCAAGTCATCATCTCTTTCCTAGGTAGCTTTCTCGATTTTGTGATTCCGCCAAAGAACTTTAAATAGAGGGATCATCTTGTTCCGTAGTTCTTTGACTCCTCGAGCCAAAATCTCGACTGGTTCTTCTTCATAGGTTAAATCTGGTTGAATCTCTATTTCCTCCAAGGTAATGACATGCGAAGGATCTGATCGATTCTTCGAGAGAATCGAAACATGAAAAACATTATAGATCTTGTCCGTCTCTGGGGGAAATGCTAGATGATAAGCCACTGGGCTGACTCTTTTTAGAATCTCATAAGGTCCAATAAATCTCAGACTCATCTTTCCTTTGCATCCAAATCGCAATACTTTCTTCCAAGGTGATACCTTGAGAAATACTTTATCACCTTCTTGATATTAAATATCATTCCTCTTCAATTCCACGTAAGACTTATTTCAATCAAAAGCTATTTAATGATTATCTTGAATAAACTTCAATTTGTTTCATTAAGTCGGGGCCAATAAAATCTCAGTCTTTTAAGTCGAACCAATTTAATGGTGTTCGACACTTTCTCCCATATAAGGCTTCATACGGAGCCATCTTAATGCTCGATTGATAACTGTTGTTGTCTGAAAATTCTACTAAAGGAAAATACTTTTCCCATGATCCCTTGAATTCAATTACACATGCCCTTATCATATCTTCCAAAATTTGAATAGTCCGCTCAGACTGACCATCTATCTGCGGATGAAAAGTTGTGATGAAATTCAATTGAGTACCCAAAGCTTCATGCAAAGACTTCTAAAATCTCGAAGTAAACCTTGGATAAATGTCTGAAACTATCGATATATTCACTCAATGAAGTTGAACTAATCTGTTCGGACTGGAATGAAGTGAGATGTCTTGGTTAATCTGTCAACAATCACCCATATTAAGTATTTTTTGCTGGGTATCAAAGGTAGTCCTATAACAAATTCCATGGTGAATCGTTCCCACTTTCATTCAGGAATAGCTATTGGTTGCAATAATCCTGAAGGCACTTGATGTTCAACTTTCACTTGTTGACATGTCAGACATTTTGCAACAAACTCAGTGATAGCTCTTTTTATACCAGGCCACCAATACATACTCTTTAGATCCTGGTACATCTTGTTTCCACCTGGATGCATAGTCAACGGACTAAAGTGTACCTTAGAAAGGATATCTTCCTTTAATTCTTCATCATCGGGGATACAAAGTTTCCCACAATAGTACAAACATCTGTCAGTCCTGAATTCAAAGTCCTTATTCTCGTCTTTTTCCACTTGTGCAGTTCTTGCCAAGCATTTTCCATTTTTCCATTGTAGCTCTTTTATTTGTTCTAAAAGCATCAGCTTTAACTTTAACTCAACAATCCAGGCACCATCTTTCTTTAAAGATAAACGCGCATCCAAAGCTCGTAAAGCTACAAAATTCTTTCGGTTAAGTGCATCAACCATCACATTAGTCTTTTCTAGATGATAATAAATGATCACATCATAATCCTTTAAGAGTTCTATCCATCTTCTCTGTCTCAAGTCCAACTGAGTCAGCAAGTACTTTAGACTTTTATGATCCTTATAAATATAACATCACTCACCATATAAATAATGACGCTAAATCTTTAGGGCAAACACAACGGCTTCCAACTCAAGATAATGTGTCAAATAATTTTTCTCATGAGTCTTTAACTATCTCAAGGCATAAGCCACAACTGTACCTCATTGCATAAGCACATATCCCGAGAAATTATGAGATGCATCACTAAATACCATATAATCTTTACCCGATTCTGGTTGTACTAACACATGTGCCTTTGGTAAGATTTTATTTAGCATTTCAAAGCTCTCTTGGCACTTCTCTATCCAAACAAAGACACATTTTTTCTTAAAAGCTTAATTAGTGGTAAAGTTATCATCAAAAAGTTCGTTATGAACCTTAGATAGTAATCAATAAGTCCCAAGAAACTACAAACCTCTGAGACGTTCTTTGGGGGTTTCCATTCCACTATAGCCTGAATTTTCTTGGGATCTACCCTTATGCCTTAGAAGAGACAACATGGCCAAGAAAAACAACCTCTGCCAACTAGAACTCACACTTTGATAGCTTGGCATACAACTTTTTCTCTCGAAGGGGTTGAAGAACAATACGAAGATGAGAATTATGCTCCTCATTCGTCTTTTAGTACACTAAAATGTCATCAATAAGTACCACAAAAAACTGATCAAAGTAAGGCTGAAATAGCCAGTTCATCAAATCCATAAATGTCGCAGGAGCATTAGTCAAACCGAACAACATTACCACGAACTCATAGTGTCCATACTGAGTCTAAAAAGTTGTCTTCAGAATATCGTCTTCTTTAATCTTTAATTGGAGGTATCCAGATCGAAGATCAATATTAGAGAACACTGCTGCACCTTTTAATTCATCAAACAATTCATCAATCCTCAGAAGAGGATACTTGTTCTTTATTGTCACCTTATTCAGCTGAGGATAATCTATGCATAACTGCATAGATCCATCTTTCTTTTTCACAAAAAATACAAGTGCTCCCCAAAGTGAAACATTGGGCCTGATGAAACCTCATCAAGCAAATTTTGTAATTGGGCTTTTCGTTATCTTAACTCGATAGGAGCCATCCGATACGGTGTCATAGAAACAGGCTTAACACCCAAAAAAATATCAATCTTTAATTCAACCTCTTGATTAGGAGGTAACCCGTGTAATTCATCTAGAAATACATATGGGAATTACTTAAGTGTTCGAATATCATCCAACCTCATTTTAGATATTTGAGTATTTATCACATTAGCTAGAAATGGTTTACACCCTTATGACATCAATTTCTTTGCAGTCACTACTGATATCACATTGGGCGGTGATTTCATTTTTTCACCAATTACTATTATTTTTAACCCTCTATATCTTTCATAAATAATCTCTTCTTGCGATAATCTACCTATTCATAATACGGAGATAATCAATTAATGTCAAAATGATCTCAAACTTGTCGAAAGGTAATTCCATCATATTTTCTGGGAACACAACCACTTGAATCTTTATCGGGTAATTCCTACATATCTGACTCACCCTTGCACTAATTGTTATCATATCACTTGAGATCGGTTCTAAAGGATCTCTAATAAGTTTTTTACTGATATAAGAGTGCCTGGAACCATGATCAACCAAAACAAACACATGTTCATTAAAGAGATAAAAAGTACTTGTTATGATCTTCGGGTCATCCCAGTCCTCATTAGTCCGGATATTGTAGACTATGGCTACTACACGCGTCTCTGGTCGCTAAGCTGATTGAGCTAGTTCTTAAGTTCTAGCCTTTCCTCTGCCTCTATGTGACATTGTTGCAAATCTCTCAGTTTGCACAAATTTGTCCCCATACCTTATAGGAAAACCTCGAATAAAATAGCCAGTATCACCACACTAGAAACAAACACCATTGGTAACTCCGCATACTCCACTATAGAACTTGCCAAACATCTGACATGGCGAAGATGGATCCTAGGGTGCTCTACCTGAACTAGAAACAATTGACTGATATTGCTTATCCTTGTGTGAAACTGCAACAAACCCGAATTTATTATTATATCGGGAACTTGAACCATTGCCTCTCTTGGCATGATAAGAAGCTGATGAATCTTTTGATCTTTTTACTATCTGCATGCTTTGCTTTGTTGCTTGTGTCTCCCATTGAGCCCTTTGAATTGCCTTTTCTCGGTTAATTACCTCTTACAGGGTAGGCAAGTTCAATGCCAACAATATTTCTTTCATTTTAGGCCTCAAACCCTTGATGAACCAGTCACGCCGAGCCTTGTCGTTGGAAACTAATTCAATAGTAAAATCCCTTAATTTGTTGCACTCATACTCATATTAATAAATTTTTTAGTTTCCCTGCTTCAGATTGAGGAATTTCAGTAGCATTGCTCGCATGAATTGTTCAACAATGTATTTGTTCTTAAATTCATCTTGAAAGAATTACCACGTCACCCGGTCATGTGGCTCATACATCGTCGTGTTTGTTTTTCCACCACACTCAGGCTGATCCTCGAAGCAGTGATAAATCTCAATCAAGTTTTTCATCGTTTGAGCAATGAAGGTTATCCAAGATCACTTTGATGTCATTTAACCATAAGTCAACAGATTTCAGACTTTCATCTTCTTCTCCCTGGAACTTAGGTGCTCTCAAACTTCTCAGCTCTTTTGGAATCGAAATCCGGGGAGTTGGCAGAATAGGGGGAGGTGAAGGAGGCTGATATCACGCTAAAATCACATCTAGAGCATGTATAAATGCTCCATGATCTTGTACCAACACTTCCTTATGTACCAATGCACTATTATGTCCAGAATAAATCGAATGTACACTATTGACTTCATTGCTCTCACTATCAGTCCCTTCTTGGACTTCTTGTTCGGGTTCTCTCCATGAATTCATGGATTTCAACATATAACACGACACACATTAATAACAACTTAGATTAGTAAGGAGTGACATCAATCACATCATATAAATACCATATTAGTAACTTTGACATCCTAGTGGCATGTACACACTTTTCACATAAAATGCACTCAGTTTTGAACGAGAATCGACTAAACCTGTAGCTTTAATACCAATAAATGTAACACATGTTTTCCATATCCGACCTCGAACACGAGTAAGAGATACCACATTCTTTTAAAATAGTTTTTGTATTTGAAAAATAGTAAAATTTTGTTTCTTTAAATAATATGATCTAGTAATAAAATATTTAAAACATCATTTACTACTAATATGTAATATAACGTATATAAGCATCATATAGTAGTTTAAGTTCGCTGATAAATATAATACTACAAAAGTATAGTTCAACTATTCCTACCAGAGCATCTTAACATAACAAAATACATGCCAACTAGTAATATCAAATGAACATCTAAAGATGTCATATTGTTACTGATGAGGTAACCATTGACAGATGATATCAGCTATACTCCTCACTCCGATCGTACTCTAACACCTACGCGTGAAATAATCACACGCTAAGTATTCACTTAATGAGGCATAATAAAGTAAGTAAGGCATTTTAAAAACATCAGTAATCATAAGAGAACAAAATATGATTTAAGTCTTATAAAATATATAAACGCATAAAACTGACTTGATAAGAAAAGTTCCCGTTACATAACCTGCGAAATATTATTTTCATATGCATAACATACTATCAATCGGTGTACTAAAAAATCTATTCATAGCCCAATGTATGACAGATGAGATATCAAGGTACACAATTAGCACCTAAGTGCTACAATGACATACAGGTACTGTAATACACAACGACACTATACTAATAATTCCGGAGTGGTAATTCATTACGAACATTATCCTTGCACACATAATGCCATAGTACAACAAATGTACTACTACTAGAACACAATAATGCATTAAACAAAATCGATCAATAACCACCTTATTCAAGGTATTACAATTGCACATATGACTCTCAATGTACATACAATAGGCTATTATATCCAAATCGTAGATTAAAAATTTATTCCAAAACATCAATGGATGATAAATAGTGTGAAACACATTCATTTGTTTTAGGGCATTTCATACCCTAAAATCATTAAATAAACACCATTTTCATAAAAAAATATGAAAATATTTCAAAATACATTAAAAACATGCTTATTAAAACATTCGAGGTTGACTCATCGAAAGTCTTCCTCTTATCATATAAGTACATAATAAAATGCACTCACTTGGTATGTATTACTATTATACCTTACTATTGATATCTGGTTATTCTTGGACTTCCTTACCATTTGATTTGATTGTAACACGAGTTTGATCACGATCTCCACAAGCATCAATACATAGCACATAATGTAACACCCCAAAAATAAGGTTAGTAGTTTCGGGTAATACCGTTGAGCTTAGAACGTTAAAATAAGTTTAACTTAATTAATTGGGTCAAGAATATGATGATTGGGCTTGTAGGGAAGTGCACAAGTTGGTAAAAATTGTATTTTTGATTTGGGTTCAAAGGAGCAAGGTCCAAGGAAGAGATTTCACTATTGTTCGAAAATAATTGTTGTTTTTCATTTAAGAATGATGATGTAAACGGGGGATGGGGTAAAATCAGCAGCATATCTCCTTCTCCTTTTCTGCACTTTGTCATCTTCTCTCCTCTCTTTTTCATCTCCAAAGTATGTAAAGATGAGAGCCTTATTGTCTAACAGAGGTTTTCAGCATCTCTAAAGGTATGAGTGGAAATCTACACTCTTAGAGCTTTAATTTAAGCTCAAACTCTTAAAGTTTGGAAATGGTAGAGAAACTTGGGTGTTTGAAGGATTTTAGTTCTAGGGCTTAGGAATGATTCTGAATTATTCCTAAACATTTAGAAATGTAATTATAAACATTTTAAAAAATAAGATTTTGAACTTTTTTTTTTTGCTTTGG